TCCCTAGTATGAAGTCTACATGTGCTGAGAATGATGCAGGTTACCCATTTTGTCTATTCATAATTGTATGGTTTTTTCATTTAATTTAGTAAAATTAGTAGAAACAGTGAAAATGACACAAACTTGTTTTTTGCAGTATAGTTCCTAGCAGTATTCTCACTGTGAAGAGTGATAGCTCTTGTATCTATCTTGCGTGTATGTGTATACGTTTCCAGATAGATAAGCAGACAATTTGGTAGCAGTTATAATCTTTTACACACAGCAATTATTGAAAAATGTTTATGTATGCTTTAAGTTGCTTTCTAATGCACTTTACCAACTGAATAAAAAAACCCTACACATTGCAAATGCTGTGGATCTCTTCTGGTTGTTGACCAGTGCTCTGAGCCACTGCCTGGCTTTCAGCATCTGAAAAATATGAAAGGGGAAGACCTGGAAAAAAACCTGTCAGTGTCCTGTGTCTCTTGACTTTCAGCTAAATTGAGATGGTTTTGTTGGGGTTTTTTTTGATTGATCCTTTTTAGGGGCAGGAAATCCTAACTCATAATACTTCTAAACTGCAACTCAAGATCCCTTGGAAGTAATCACAATTTATTGGCACAGTTAATTGCAGTGAAACTTGCAGTGTTTGATTAAAATAATCTGTAACAGTTTGAGGCCTAATGTGTGATAATATTATGTGACTGTATAGATAAGTTTGTTTTCATATTTTTGAAGAAAGCCAAATAATGCTTGCCCACGGCTGTTTGTTTAAAGTAGAGAATATCAAATGTTGGCCTTATCGCAGTGGTAATGTTCAATGTGAAACTCATGTGATGTCTGAAAGAGACTTGCACACTCTAGAAAATCATAGCTGTTGAGTGTGTCAAGTCACCTAGATTCTTTCATAAAGAGCAGAGTTTAATGCTTCAATTTTGATATTTCTTTTCCCAACACTGACCAGATTTTAAATCCCAGCCTGAACCATCCCCAGTTCTGAGCCAGCTGACCCAGCAACAGCAACAACAAACGCAGACAGTTCCTGTTCCTCCTCCTGGGCTGGAGTCCTTCTCCCAGGTAAAACTCCAAGAGCCATCGCCAGTAGACACCTCTACAGCTGTTAGCAAAATGTTACAGCTCCCCACTATATCTATGGATAACCAGGCAGTGACTGCCCATCAAACCCAGCAGAAACAGATAAAACCACCAAAACGGAGGATAACTCCAGCATCCAAGGTGGGTAATTGAGTGGTTGCTTGTCCTTAGTAAACATATAAACATACAAAAGCTTGTATCAGACATAGTGTGGCCAGCGGGAGTAGGGAAGTGATCGTGCCCCTGTACTTGGCACTGGTGAGGCCACACCTTGAAAACTGGCCCCTCACTACAAGAAAGACACTGAGGTGCTGGAGCATGTCCAAAGAAGAACCCTGGTGAGGGATCTAGAGCACAAGTCTGATGAGGAGCGGCTGAGGGAACTGGGGGTGTTCAGTCTGGAGAAGAGGAGGCTGAGGGGAGACCTTATCGCTCTCTACAACTACCTGAAAGGGGGTTGTGGCGAGGTGGATGTTGGTCTCTTCTCCCAAGTAACTAGTGATAGGACAAGAGGAAATGGCCTCAAGCTACTCCAGGGGAGGTTTAGATTGGATATTAGGAAAAATTTCTTCACCGAAAGGGTTGTCAACCACTTCCTTGGGCAGCCTGTTCCAGTACTTGAGTAACCATCCCTGGAGGTATTTAAAAGACGTATAGATATGACACTTAGGGACATGGTTTAGTGGTGGACTTGGTAGTGTTAGGTTAATGGTTGCACTCAATGATCTTAAGGGTCTTTTCCAACCTAAATGATTCTATGATTCTATTTTATGTATAAGTTGCTAGGGAGAAGGAGAGCAAAGACCATGGTATATTTCTTGTTTATAAAGGAGGAAATTCTAAGCCAGATAGTTTTTTAGGTCCAAAATACGGTGAAGATGTCTCTTCCAAGCACGTATCTGATTGCTCTGTGTGGAAAATGACTGTTGCTGAGTGATTTTGGATTGACTTAGTAGCCACAAGATGAATGTTGGCTGAAGGGGGATGGACATGGATGACACTTTGATATTGTAGAATAGTATGGCTTACTCTTTCAG